CCCCAAAACCCCAAAACCCCAAAACCCCAAAACCCCGAGACACATACTCGGGTTGAATATCTCCTTGTAATATTCGAAAGGTAAATAAATAACTTCACCTTCAAAGTCCTAAATTTTCATGTGCTCAAAAATATAAGAACACTCAAAAGTTGTTCATTATCGAAATGGGACCGAAGAAAATTTCATTTTTCTTTAAAGAGGAGCTGAGCCTAAGCTTATTTGTCAATTTAAAAGATATTTATAAGCTAGCTGAATGATTATATATCAAGAATTTTATACTGAGGGAGATCATCTACAACTATTTTTCAGATCCCTTCATGCTCTTAATAGGAAACTTAAAGGTGCTGTACTTGTCCGATGAAGTATATAATTCTTCCATCAAATCATCCCTATAAGTATAAGTAAAGCATGGAGACCTACAATATTGGAACTTTTATGTCCTTGCTAGATTCATGATGCCCTTTGGGCTTTATCGATCAACTCTTCATCTCTATTTGCTCCTCAAGATCAGGAACAACATCCATACTTTCTCGTTGCATCTCTTTTCTGTGGAGAATTCTGTCGACTCTCGAATCACCAGAGTCGGGAGAATGTTGTTCCTTATTAAAAGTAACATTCTTATTCTTCAGGAATGTCTTGAACCTCTCACTGCTTTCATCCTGTGGGTGGACCTAAACCTGAGCTAAGCCTGCTTACAAATCTCTGGTCTGACCCAGTGGGGGCTCCTCGATCGAAAGACTTTGGCTAGAGAATAACTGAGTGAAAGTACCAATCTTTGAACTCGGAATGTGTCTGCAACAGAGTCTTCCTTGAGCTCATTCCCTGGTAGTCAAGCTTTTTCTAGAAGGAGTTAGAGGGCTTGTTCGAGGGATTTTTGGGTGAAGAGAGGTTGGATGTAAGGAGAGGGTAAGATTTTGAGGTTTGCTTACTTCGGTGCCGATTTTTGGTTCTTTTGGTTCTTTGGGAATTTTTTGCCTTGTTTTTAGCCCGAGTCCCTTTTTTGACTATAAAGAAGGTGAGAAGATGTTGTAAGAGAGGTTAGGAGAGGGAATGAATGGACTTAGATGGATGATTTTTTAAGGTTTTTTTATGGAATATTGTTTTTTTTAATCAAAATATATCTCTTGACTCCTCACATTATTTAAATAATTCAAAACTTACCTTTAAACAGCTTTTTCTTTTGATATTTCCTAATCTTTTTGATTTTATCTTTTAAATTATCTTCTTTCTAATTCATTATGAATAAGCCCTACCAGAACTTTGTTGAACAAAATATATCTTGAGATGCAGTTTGAAAGTGTTTGGCAATACTTATACCTCTCTGCAAGAGTTTGGACCATCAGATGCATCCACTTGATTATAAATATTACATTAACAGCAAGCATGATTATGAGCAACACTGAATTCAAAGAATCTTTGGCGTCTGCAGTATTAAAGACCATTCCTCAACATAATGTGATTATTCCTACATTGACTCCCAACATCTCAATTTTGTTATTGTCTTCATTCTTGTAAGGGCGGAAATATGATTGTAGCCTCCAGGTTCAGATAAGGATAGTAACCGAAAAGAGAATCTGAATGCTTGTTGGCAATAAAAATGCAATTAGGACAGCTATCTTCCTTGCACTATTTACAAACTCCCAATAAAAATGTTTTGATTTCAACCCTTGATACAGTATCAAGAAGTACTTCTGTACTTGGTTGTTCTGGTCAGGAACTCCTACGTTCCGATACATGAGAACTAGAGCAATTAGCGGAAGAAGAGACACCCAGAAGATTAGGATTGGGCCTCCAAGAATTAAACACCATTTAATATGCTCCATTGAGTATCAATCAATATCACTATCAATTCTGACTTTGTAAGCGTCATCGCTTATTTTGAGGCACCTGAAGATATCAATCCCAGATTGTGCTAGCTTTGGATGTAATAAGAAGACGACGCTAATAAAAGATATGATGAGATATCTTTTCATATCTGGAATCCAACTTTTTCTGATGCAGTACAAGATAATCCATATCAGAGTAACAATGAAAAATACTCCTAAGGGTAAAGGGATCAGAATGAATAGCTTCAAGAATGTTGTTGATGGGAAAGGTCCAGTCACTTCTGAGTCAGTGATGAATCAGTCAAAAGACATAAAGGCTGTCGAAGAGTCTCCTACACTTTTAACAGGAACCAGTGCATCAGTTAATAAGTCTGGATGGTTTGAGCTAAATGATATTGTTGTTGTTATTATTTGGGCATAATTTGTCAGAATACGTAATAATATCGAAATCTGGCTTTCTGATGTTTTTCTTACATTAACAAAAATTATAATCATAAAGAATATGAATACACCTATAACAGCTCCAAATACTCTAATTGCATTCATTGTTGCATTTGGTCATTTTTGGCAGACAAATTCACTGGTTTGCTGGAACTTTGAATCTTGCGTTAGATCTCATTTTGATCATAATTTTCCTTTGTATCCAGTAGCACATTTGGTTGGTTGATTATAGTCATCAACATACCCTCCATTACATGCATCTTTGTTCTCACATTCTACGATAGAGGTAGAGTTTAGAGTTTCTCTCCAAAATCCTGAGTTTACATTGATCTCTGATCCGCCTTCACACACAACATCTTCCATTCATTGCTCTCAAGTTGAGCTACTCCACTCAAGAGAGTATGTTCCAGGAGAGCATTCTCTTCAGATATTACCTTCTGCTAATTCTCCTGGCTTTCAATATCTAATGTTTCAGGTGATTATGTTCGAGCTTATTTGAGAGCCAAAAATCTGCTGTATTCTATTTTGGTCAATAGCATTGGATGTTGCAGTCACTTGAATTTCGTCTGAACCTTGCTCTGCAACCACAATTAGATTGTCAAATTCTGCAATACCATTTCTGAGAGGAGCTAAAATTAAGAAAAGTTGTATACCTGAATTGAACCCTTTGACTTCTGTTGTTTTGGAATTTGTTGCTGACATTCTAATTTGATCCTGACTGTTTAGGTTCATGACTTGATCGTCATAATCTCTGACTGCAAAGTTCAATGTTTCTGGATAAGCAAGCCCTGATCCGAAATCATTTAGTTTCAAAGGAGCTCTTGAGTCATTTGCAAAAGTTACTTTAACTGCATAGCTTGCAATATTATTTCCGTAATTGGCAGTGTTGTTTGTATAAACAAGAGAGTCTCCAAATATTGGCCTCGAGTAGTCATAATAAAGAGCTCCACCTTTGAATGATGCACTATTATGTTCAAATGTGTTGTTTGAAAGATTCAGATAACAAAGAACAGTAGATGAACAGCTGAAATAAATAGCTCCTCCCACATAAGCAATATTATTCGAAAAGGTTGAATTTCTGATGGAAACTGATGAGTCTTCCATTTGGATTCCACCACCCAATAACAGATTTGATTTCCCATTTTGATGGAATATTGAATTTTGGACCAAGTTTATTGTGCTTAATTGAATCAGAAATCCTTCAGATCAATTTTTAATATCTATCTGATCAATTAGAGCAATATTAGACTTTCTTATCTTTACTACAGAAGAAACTGAATTTGACAAATAAAAGTTCTTTAAAGTAATATTGTTGGAAGTGTCCAAAGAAAATAAGTAATCACTTGTTACTTCGGAGTTTGAAGAATGTATCCCGTCAATGGTTGAATTGTAGCAATCAGCAATTTCTCCTAACTTAGTCGCATTAGTGATCATGTCAAAATTTATGGTTTTGATATCTATTGATGAAGTTCTTACTACAAACAAGATCGAATTAGAAGATGAATAGTTCAGGTCTGATACCACAAAACTACTATCCAGCATAACAAGAATGAAGTCTGTGTCTGCTGTATTATCCAAGTTCCGAATAGTCATTCTGTTGAGAGTCAGAGTGGTGAACACAGACTGTATGCTCGTCTTCCCAAAAGTAATGTTCTCAATAAGAGAGTCCTCAAATGTGATGGTTGACACAAAAGCGTTTATGATGATTGACTGATCATAGATTTTAGTATTACTAAGAATTGAGAGAGATCCTGAAATTACTTGGAATAATTGGTCTTCTGCATTATCAATGATTGAAGCAGCAAAGTTATTATCTGAATAAGTTTTATATTCAGTAGAGATGAAACAAAGTTTTGATCAAGTTGCAAATTCCTGAACTAGCTGAGCTTTAGACAAAGCCTCATTACCATAAATTGATCAATTACTGACTTTTGACAACGAAGCGCTATCCAGAATAAGTGATATAGGATCACTGTTAGCATAATTATTTGATATTTGTGTTTGATAAAATTCAAAATATCCATCCAAAGTAACTTCCGCAACTCCACTAATGATAGCAAAATTATTGCTAAAAGTTCAATTAGTTCATTTTAGATAACTTTTGTCAGAAAGGAAAATTACAGCCCCTTTATGTGCTGTATTATTGAGAAAAGATCAATTTTCAATGTCAATCTCAGCTCTTGATGCTCTTCCTGAAATAACAGCTCCATCAGAGAATGAGTACACATTAGTGAATCTTGACCCTGTAATGTATGTCTTGCCTTGCTCTGTCAATGTGATGAAGGAGTTAGTGGACTCTTTGACATTGTTTACAGTGATGTTGTCCATGTTAACACGAGTAAAAATACTGGTATCACTAACTGTAGGAGTTGTTATGAGAATATACCCATTTTCAATATTCTCAAAAACTCAGTTTGAGACAGTCAGATTGTTCACAAATTGGTGGTTCAACAGCAATAGATACCCACTCGAATCAAACTTTATATTTGAGAAAGTAAGATTTTTAAGGGACACCTCAATATCATGACTAGTTTTTGCTTTATTCATAGTGAGAATAGCCTTCTCTGAGGAAATCTGGCTATCTTTAAACACACTGTCCTCAAATATTATCAACTTCTTAGAAGGAGGCGAATTTGTCATTGTCAATAACTGGACAGGATAAATCGAAGAGTTCTCATACACCACATTCGATATTGTAGAATTCGTTGAAGTATTTAAATCAAGAGTGTTGATTGTGATAAATGCAGTATTCTCATCATTCAAATCATTTGGTTTTAAGCCAGACAAATAAACCCCATCTACTTGTAGCTGCTGGATGCTATTTAGGAAGAAAATATGTTCATCTGCATCAACTGTTGTATTGATAAAACTAATATTTTTCAGAGTAATGTCTGTTATGGATATTGATACCTGGAAAAATTTTTGCTTCTGAAAATTTCAGTTCATAATTTCAATATTCTCCATTGATACATTTGTCAGAGCAGATTGAGTAGAAATTACAGCTCCAATAGGTTGCTGGGACCCTGTATAGTTCTCAAATCTAATATTTTCAAATCGTGAGTATCCTGCAAAAATTAATCCAAAAGTTGGGTTGGCTCCAGAAGAGACATCTCTGAAAGTCATATTCTTAAAGGTTATATGCCCTATAGTCATTAAAATAAGAGCTTTCATGTATAAATTATCGGCCAGATCAATAAAAAAATTATTTTTATTAAAAATATTACTTGAGAGCCAGAATAATCTGGCATAAATTAAGAAAAAAAATAAAACTAAGGAATAATATATATAATTTATGCTACATTAAATAATCTGCCGAATTTATAGAGCTTAGAATTATTTCTTGAAATAAACTAAAGTCATTTAGAAGAGTCATTAGGGTGAATAATTAACTTGACAAGCTTTCCTACCTGGTTGTTGAGCGAAAATAAGTCCAAGATTAGCATTATAATTTGATGCTTCAACATCGGTAACATGAATTACATCGTTAGAGGTGAAGCCTCCTCCAAAGGCAGCATAAATTGGATCAATGAAGTCTTTAATATACATATGAGATATATTAATATGATGAATTCTCCCTACTTCCGCAGTAAACTCTACTCCCCATGCGTTCATGCGGCTAAGACTACTAGTTTGAGGAATAGAGATGTATAAGGTATCTAAATTTACTGTCCGGAGAGCTCCATCATCTGAATTGCATACCTCAGCTGCCTGGACCATTCCACTGGGTGATCCTAGAGAAACTAAATGAAAATTATTTGTTAAATTCCAATTGTATCCACTGAAGTTGCCTGGCCCAGAATACAAGTAGCTTATAGGCCTCGATGTGAACACTTCATCTAAATGAGAAGTGTCATATGTAATGTTGTTCATTGTCACTTGGGGAGTTAAATAAGCTTCTGGATAATTACAGAGAGTCACCATCATAAACCCGCCTGCAAGAGCATATGTGTCAATGTAAATGTTCTCTATGAAGATATTGGCTGGATCATTAGTGTTCACTAAAGTTCCTGACAGGTAAAAATCAATGTTCTCTAGGAAAGTTAGTGTCTATACTTACTCAGTGTAAATGTCTTAGTCTGAAGGTAGATGAATGATGCAAATACTCCTGATTGTGTTGAAGCAGCTATCCTTCTTCCAACGAAATGGGAAATAGTTATTGATGTCCTAGTGGCCTCAAATGTTGCTCCAGAAGTTCCTATTTTCTGAAGCTCATAGTCACTAAACCCTTGCCCTGCAGTAATAGTAGATAGATCAACAGTAACATCTTTCATCAAGTTAAATGCAGCTTTCATGCTTATTTCAGTCTGTGCTTGATCAGTTGAGTAAATGGTCGCATACCCAGCTGGTGCTGATGTGTCGTTGTAAGTAGTAATCTCGATTGATGTCATGTTTATTATAAAAATCTTGGAATCTTCAATGAAATTTGTAGTGCCCTCCTTTATATACACCTTTACGTCACTTTCAGAGTTCGAAAAATGAAGCAAGATCTCATCAAATACAGGATTAACAGTTCTGTAAGGATGAGTTATAGTCCCTAGTTCAATTTGGTCTTCATATGAAGGGTCGATATAAAATTTAGGACTTCGTCAAAACTTGTCGACATTATAATTAGTTGGGTCGGTGACCTCCTTTTTACTAGTATCACATGCTGCAACTCAAACAGGGTCACCTTCATCATTCCCAAATTTATCAAGATCAAACGCTTTTCCATCAGTTCACTTAAAACAGATCTCTCTGTACCCTCATTGCCCAAATCACGATCCTTCACAGCTTCTTCACCCTCTGGTAATAGTCCCATCGTAAAACTCTCCATCGGGTCAAAACTGTCATAACCCAGTTGTAGTATTCAAAAACATATGCTCTTCACACCCTGTACATTCAGTCCCATTCATGCACTCCTTTCATGAAGAATGACAGGGCATTCATTTCTGGTCACTGGAAAATGTGCCAGGGTCGCAGCCTGATGTGACTAAGAAGAGCAGCGATAGGAAGAACAGAGCAGTCATTTTTAGGTTTGAAATATTATATATTTTAAATATAAGTATTCAGCTTATTTCTCATCCCATGGGGTTTTGGGGTTTTGGGGTTTTGGGG